CACGACGTTTGTTTTCTTGGCGAGGGCAACAAGGCCTGCGAGGGCAGCAAGTGCAATCTAGCAGCCACGTCAGAAGAAAGCACTGGAGCAGCGGCTGCCCACCCACAAAACAATAAGAGAAGACGCTGTTTTTAGACAGAGCAGTGGAACTGGAACAACTAAGAGCAGTACAGCGCAAGAAGTACGACAGCGAACGGAGGCAGAGGAAGAGGCTCCTGAGGGAAGGGAGGAGGAGGAGCAGCCTCCCTGGAAACGGGCGACAGGTGCAGGAGAGCTCCAAGAACTAGGCAACGCTCTACACCAGGGCAAGAAGTACAGGCCATCCCATGCAACGCTGAACAAGAGGCTAAAGATCAACCAAGTGGTGGCCATGAGACCCAAGGAACAGTGCTCGTTTGGGGGACTCCCTGCCATGTGGGACGGAAACGCATGTACGTGAGGAAGGCCCACAGACTCAAACAAGCAAGTTGACATAACTGGCAAATTGCCAAGGCTCAGAGAAGCCCCTAACAGGTATCCCTCCCTCCTGATTCATGCCTGAACAAGTGATACCACCAAGCAGAGCGTAGAAGGAAACACAACAGATACGGACGCTGCAGAGAGGAGAGCAAGAACTTGGGGTCCAGATAGTTTTCTCTTCAATCCTTCCAGTTCTTGGAAAATGAATAGACAGGGAAAGAAAAATACTCAAAGTGAATGCCTGGCTATGAAGGTGGCCGTGACATGAGAGAGCTGAATTCTGGGCCCACAGGCTGCACTTCCGGGAAGACGGGCTGCTGGCAAGGGCTGGGCTGCTCCTTGCAAGGACTGGACAGGAGGCATTTGGCCACAGCATGAAGAGGTTTATCAGGAGGGGCTTTAAACTGAATCCCACAGGGGAGGGAGAAGCACACCTGGGCATAACGGCCTATGCACCGAGCCGGGAGACCAGCTCTGACAGTACCCGGTAGCAGTCTTTCAAAAAATGCACGAAGAAAGCGACAGTACAAAGCTCATGATATGCGATGCCCAGCGTATGGGAAAGAAACAGCATGAACTTGACCTCTTAATAGAGGAGGGGGAATACAACCTGATAGGTATTAACTGAAACCTGGTGAGATGACTCCCAGGACTGGAATTCAGCAGCTGAAGGATGTAACTTGTTCAAGAAGAGCAGAAGGAACAGAGCAGGAGGCAGAGTCACACTGTTTAGACATCCATATCTCTGCGCAGAAATACGGGAGGATGAGCTTAGAGGCTCCATCAAGAGGATCTGGACTAATATAAGTGGAGCAGGAATAAAAGGAGCTCAGTGGTTAGACTCTGTTACTGACCAACCAGTCAAGGAGAGGATGAAGATGAAACTTGTGAAAAGCGAATCGCCAGTGTTTCAAGGAG